GAGTTGTAGTTCACCACATCCAGAGAGCACTGTGGTCTCAAACAATGCTGGATCTGAACCAAACCCGGCATGAATACTCAATATGCCCAAATGTGAACACAGATGAAGTTTGGGGAAATATACCTTGATATTTGGAAATTGTAGTTGCTGGGATTTATAGGTCGCCTACAATCAAAGAGCATTCTGAACCCCACCAATGATAGAATTGGGCCAAACCTCCCACACAGAACCCCCATGACGAACAGAAAATACTGTGTTTTCTGATGGTCTTTGCCGACCCCTCTGAAACCCCCTCGTGACCCCCCAGGGGTCCCGACCCCCAGGTAGAGAAACACTGGTATAGACACATCTTCGGAAGAAACGTGCAAACACAGCAATATTTTTGAAATTTTGTATCTTCGTACTGAGCTTGGCAAAGCAGACCACTGAATGCAACTGGTAGCCTCTACATGTACAATACAATCTGTATACCCACAGAACCAATATACATGGGTTTCACTTATCCACGGTTTCACTTATTCACTCAGGGACCCTTGCACATCACGAGTCGCCTTCGGGCTGAGAGGGGCAGTATATAAACATGGTAAATAAATTGTATACGATATTTCCTCTTTTCACCATTTTCCCCATTGGAAACAACACAACTCACTATTATCCAAAATTTCACGAATCCATGCAAAGTCCGGAAACATATCCCTTGCATATTCGAGAATCGTCTTTCATATTTTATCCCCATTCCAGACTTCTAAGAGTAAAACTACACTGTAGAAAGAATATAGTTTGACACGACTTTAACTGACAGAGATTTATTTTGCCTAAAATTATGGAAAAAATAGATCCATGTATATGATTCCACAGCAAGCTGGCTTCAGGAAAGGCAAAAGCTACACATTGCAAGTGTTGAACCTGACTCAGCACACAGAAGATGATTTTGAAAGGCAGCAGATCACAGGAGCTGTCTTCATAGAATTGTCAGCACCTTATGACACTATAAATCATCACCTTCTCATGAGAAAAACTTAAAATATCACAATGGATGACCACCTCACTCGTTTCATAGGAAATCTGCTACAAAACAGGAGCTTTTTTGTTGAGATCCAGGGCCAGAGAAACCAGAGAACAACCTGCCTCAGGGAAGCGTGCTTGCTCCATCCATGTTAAACATTGACACAAATGACCAGCCACAAGGGACAGAGAGTTTCATCTATGCTGACGATCGTGCCATCACCGCTCAAGCAGGGAGCTTTGAAATGGTTGAACAGAACCTCTCCAAAGCTCTAGGTGCTCTTACTGCCTATTACAGGGGAAATCATCTGATTCCTAATCCATCTAAAATGCAGATGTGTGCTTTTCATCTTACGAACAGACAAGCATCTTGAGCTCTGAGGATGACCTGGGAAGGAATCCCACTGGAGCATTGCAGCACACCCAAATACCTGGGAGTACTTCTTGAATATCAAGCAGAACATGCGTGTTGGAAACAATATCATACGAAAGCTGACTGGCACAGCCTGGGGATCTCAACCAGACACATTGAAAACACCTGCCCCTTGCATTTTGCTACTCTGCTACTGAACACGCATGCCCAGTGTGGAACACATCTCACCATGCAATCTTCCAACTAGGAACCAGGTGAGTCCTTGCAGACGGCCAATTCTCTCACACCAGAAGCGACTTGCAGTTTCTCAAGTCACTCCTGACACAACAAAAAAAAACCCCAAACAAACAAATTAAAAGTTGTATTATTTTCTGTTCTATGAATCCCATGATTCCATAGCACAATGTGGTGTCAAACTGCATCGGTTGTACAGTGCAGCCACACCCCAAGACTGAACCCACTACTAGCCCCAGTCATGTCCAAAGAATTCACCACTGTGACAGCCTCCTGAAGAAGAGTCAGGCAGTGCTTTCCGACCATAAAATACTGACTTCATTACATACCAGTTACTGCCTCCAGGAGTTACACACTCATGAGGATTATTAGGGAGACACAAATCAAAAACTCAGCAGCAACATCACAGCTCCGTGCTATAGTTTGCTTTCATGAGCTCATCTCTTCAGCTGGTTTTCTCCATATAATGTTTGCAAGGAGGAACAGTTTCATCCTAGAGCTCGGAAAAGTGACTTTCGACAGAGCATAACTCCCCGGTTCCCTCAGCCAGCATGGACAGTAGCCATGTTGGATAAGGCACTCTCATCCAAATAAAGTAAGTTTTCGAGCTCTGATTCATCCTTGAAATGTTATGGGCAACCATTTCCATAGCAAATCTTCATAAGCATGTGCCCGTTTGGGGTTTTCAGTTGAATCAGAGTTCAGCCTCAGCAGAAATGGACATTAATTTTGGAATCGACCCCAGTCACACTTTCACAATTCTTTGTTTTCAAAAGTGAAATCCTATCTACAAATATCACACTAAAGGCTAAGACTGAAATATCACGTCGTAATATCAGAGGAGAAACGAAGCGAGGATGAACCCTGAAACTGAGCAGCAAGGCAAACCAACAAACAACAGTTTTGGGTAGTTGTAGGTTTTATCGGGCTATATGTTCATGGTCTAGAGCAGTGTTTCTCAACCTGGGGGTCGGGACGCCTGGAGGGGTCGTGAGGGGGTGTCAGAGGGGTCACCAAAGACCAGCAGAAAACACAGTATTTTCTGTTGGCTATGGAGGTTCTATGTGGGAAGTTTGGCCCAATTCTATTGGTGGGGTTCAGAATGCTTTTTGATTGTAGGTGAACTATAAATCCCAGCAACTACAACTCCCAAATGTCAAGGTCTATTTTCCAAACTCCACCAGTGTTCACATTTGGACATATTGAGTATTCGTGCCAATGTTGGTCCAGATCCATCATTGTTTGAGTCCACAGTGCTCTCTGGATGTAGGTGAACTACAACTCCCAAAACTCAAGGTCAGTGCCCACCAAACTCTTCCAGTATTTTCTGTTGGTCATGGGAGTTCTGTGTGCCAAGTTTGGTGGAGTTCAGAATGCTCTTTGATTGTAGGTGAACTATAAATCCCAGCAACTACAACTCCCAAATGACAAAATCAATACCCTCTCCAATCCCACGAGTATTCAAATTTGAGTGTATTGGGTATTTGTGCCAAATTTGGTCCAGTGTATGAAAATACATCCTGCATATCAGATATTTACATTACTATTCATAACAGCAACAAAATGACAGTTATGAAGTAGCAATGAAACTAATTTTATGGTTGGGGGTCACCACAACATGAGGAAGTGTATTAAGGGGTCGTGGCATTAGGAAGGTTGAGAACCACTGGTCTAGAGGCATTCTCTCCTGACGTTTCACCTGCATCTATGGCAAGCATCCTCAGAGGTAGTGGAAGAGTTGTCGTCCAAAACACCTGGAGGGCCGAAGTTTGCTCAGGCCTGGTGTAGATGCACCCAAAGAAACCTTGGAGGTTTAAAAAAATTCACAACCATGCCTGGTGTAGATGTTGGAACTAGGAAAAAGAGTTTAATGTTTCAACTGACCACCTTGATTAGCATATAATGGCCTGAGAGTGCCTGGAGCAAATTTTTGTTGAGAGGTGATTAGATGTCCTTGTATGTTTCCTCTCTGTTGTTGTGCTGTTGTAATTTTAGAGTTTTTTAACAGTGCAACAACAGAGCAATGTCCAGTCTCGATAAAATAGTAAAGAGTAGAGACATCAGACTGGCAACAAAGATCCTCCTAGTCAAAGCCATGGTATTCCCTGTAGTCACCTACGGATGTGAGAGCTGGACCTTAGGGAAGGCTGAGCGAAGGAAGAGAGATGCTTTTGAGCTGTGGTGTTGGAGGAAAGTTCTGAGAGTGCCTTGGACTGCGAGAAGATCCAACCAGTCCATCCTCCAGGAAAGAAAGCCCGACTGCTCATTGGAGGGAAAGAGACTAGAGACAAAGTTGAAGTTCTTTGGCCACATCATGAGGAGACAGCAAAGCTTAGAGAAGACAATTATGCTGGGGAAAGTAGAAGGAAAAAGGAGAGGGGCCGACCAAGGGCAAGATGGATGGATGGCATCCTTGAAGTGATTGGACTGACCTTGAAGGAGCTGGGGTGGTGACGGCCGACAGGGAGCTCTGGCGTGGGCTGGTCCATGAGGTCACGAAGAGTCGGAGACGACTGAATGAATGAACAACAACAAGAGGAAACAAACAAGGACATCTAATTACCTCTCAACAAAAGATTGCTCCAGGCACTGCCAGGCCATCAAATGCTAATTAAGGTGATCAGTTGAAACATTCACACCTAGCTCCAGAAGACAAGAGTCCTTTGTCCCACCCTGGACATCATTCCACAGATATATAAACCCTATTTCCTAGTTCCAATAGACCTCACTACCTCTGAGGATGCTTGCCATAGATGCAGGCGAAACGTCAGGAGAGAATGCCTCTAGACCATGGCCATATAGCCCGAAAAAAACCTACAACAACCCAGTGATTCTGGCCATAAAAGCCTTCACAATACAAACAACAGTTTTGGCCAAAGGAACTTCCAAGTCCCAGGAATGCTTTCAGTCCAACCCAGTGAGATAAAGGTTTGTTTCAAGCACCATATTTTATATAATTTCAGAGTTATGAAGACAAAGTCTTAGCACGCAGGAGCAATATCTGATCATGCAAGCATGTTGATCCTCATCTACGGCCCATATGACCCCCACACAACGTAGACAGAGACTGTTTGTTGTTTACTAGGGTGTTCCCAGGGCACTGAAGCCATAAAATCAAACGTGGTAGCCCTGGGCACATGTTATTGCAGTCACAGCATTTCTAGCATAGCACAAATGGTAGAGTTCAGCAAAACAATACAGGCCATGGGGTGATATGTCAGGTATTAGCAAAACAAGGTTAATTGGGCCAATTACAGCAGACCAGCTCAATTTGTCACTCGTACTGTATGTCAACAACACTATAAACACAACACAACTCAAACCAAAAGCAAAACTTCCAAGGTACTTTGTAAAAATGTAAGAAAATCTAAAACACCAGGGGACTCACCACTTGTGGTTTGCTTCTGCTGACGCCGGTGCCTGGATCTTCATGGTGCTTTGGACATCTGGGCAGCTTGGGTTCAGACGCAGTTGGTGTGGCGGGTGAAGATCTGGGTGTATCCACAGTGCCAGCAGAGGATGGCTCCCCTGAGTTAAGGGTCAACATGTAGTGCTTGGTGACATCCTCCAAGGATGGTGCTTGAAGAACAGGGTAAGGCTTCAAGGGAAGGCGGGAGAGCCCTGGTGGTGGGCCACCATGGAGGTTCTGGTTCGAGGACGCCGGTGGACTGGTGGTATCCCCAATGGGAATAAAGGTGGTGGGCTCACTGGTGTGGCGGACATGTTTGGAAGACGGTCTCGCTCTACTGAGAGCAGGAGTGATACTTGGGGTTTCAGGGGACTCTTCATTTCTATGTTCCTGGCCATTGACCCTGTTGGTGCGCTTCTTGGAGCTTCGCCGGACTATCCGGGGAGACAGAACATCCACCAGTTTGGGATCAAAGCTGTAGTTTTTAGTCTCTCCAACCATCTCGTTGTCTGACTGCGGGGGCAAAACATGCTCCGAGAGGGAGCCCAGCCGGCCTACTTCCTGTTCCCGTAGCTGATCCCTTTGCTCAGAGAGGATGGGCTCGCTGCTGGATGGAGGGATGCTCTGCTCCATCTCACTGATGGGTTCTCCAGGACCATCGAACCCTGCGCTGGCGAGCTCTCCACGCCGACTGGGATCGCTGAAGGACTTCTTCTTGATGGTCTTCCCATTCCCTTTCTCATCAATCACTTTATCCATGGCCCCAGGTTGGCTAACAATGTTCTGGATCACAGTGTTGTAGTCCTTGACGCCATCGCTGCAGACAGACAAGTCACTGGCAGCGCTGCCGGCACATTCGGACAGGGCCACAGCTGAGGATTCTGGGATGCCAGACTTCGCATTCAGTGACCCAAGGAGATTGCTATCGACTGAGAAGTTCTTGGAGTCCTCAGTGATGGAACACCTTCTGTGGGGCATGGGGTCACTCAAGGATCGGTAGGTTTCACCATTGGGTTCCCCGTTGCTTCCGTTACTGGACTCAGAGCCATTGTTCCCAACTGATGGAAACTTCCTCCGGCGTCGAAGGGCGCTGGGGGTCAGTGGTGCCTCGAGCAAACCTTGGGGTGCCATTTTGTTATTGGGAAGGGCCTCATCCTTCTCACTATTTGGTCTGGTTGTGTGGCTTTGAAGTAGACCTTCGTTGGTCTCTAACTGGCTGGTCTGACTCCCTCTTCTTTGGTTTGCTGCTTTCCATGCCTCAACCGATGGGTTGAGATAGCTATAGGGAGGGCCTGTCTCCACTTCGGTGACGATCCCCTCATCAGTCATGCTAGATTCGGGACCTGAGAGTTCTTCTAAGGATTTCCCACAGGAAAGGTTGCCTTCGGAATCAACTTTCTTCAAGCACTCCTCACATCCACCTTCCAAGGCATCCTTCTTCTGCATTTCTGTGTCCCCTTCTCCCGCTTTCACATTACTTCTGTCCTTTGGGTCTGAAGCAAAGTTGTAATCATGCTGGGAGCCAATCTTACTAATCTTCTCAAAGACCTGCCTTGCTTCTTGAATGTACTGGTCTTGGATGATGACCGGCAGACCATCTCCCTCTCTGTCTCTGCCTGTCTCAGAAACACCATCGTTGTAGTCATTAGTGGCTTGCAGGGTGCTCAGGTACAGCTCTGAAGAGCTTTGCTTCATGGTATTCTGGAGGAAGAATCTACGGGGAACCTGCGGCTTATCGGAACAGGTAAAGGATTTGGCCCGCCTCAAAGTTGCTGTGAGGTCTTTCAGAGTGGGACGGCCACCCACTGCGCAACGGTTCAGTGGCTGAGCCTCGCTTTGGGATCTTCCTGCCATTTGGTGTCCAGCTCCACTATGGTGGTACCTCTCATATCTATGGCTGCTTCCCGAAGTCGTTTCCGCTGGTTCATTGGCCCGGCTGCCTTTCTTCCTGGCCTTCAGTTCGGACAGATCTGATTTCAGGAAGTTGAGGAGGGCCAGAGTCTCTGTTGCAATGTCCGGGTTGGACATGGATTTTCTGTGCTTGGAGGACTCAACCGCCTCCAGGCCGCAGTGCTGCAGATTTTCAAAGGAAGGGAGTTCTTGTTTTGTTTTGACAATCCCCAACGGCAGCTTTGGACGGGCCCGGACCTGTGACTGGAGCCTGGCGAGGCTACTGCTTTGGTTGAAGCTTGGAGAGCGGAACACCCCGAGACCCCCCTGAAAGCTCCTGCTTTGGCTGCCCCAGGAACCCCCCAACAACTCTTCCTCTTTCAGAGTCTCCGTGCTAGAGTAGCGACTGCTGCTTCGGGAGCCAGAAGGGCTTGGCACGAAAGGGGGGATGCTCACTTTGGAGACCCTGGAAACGTGAGGGAGGGGGGATGCCGAGGACAGTGTACCTGGGGTACTAAGCAGAGAGCTTTCTGACAGGCCACGGGTGAAGAGCCTGTGTCCTTCTGTGCTGCCTATTGGGTTGCCATCACAGGGCAAGGCTGCAGCAGGAGTCAGCTCGGTCCTTTCCTCAGTGGGCAAGGGACAGATGTACTGGCACAAGTCCTCCTGGGCCTTCAAGTGCCACTCCATGCCGGCTGAAAGGTCACCCCTGAAGGCCTGGCCCTGGATCCCGTCCTTCTTCCTCTGGGCGCAAGGTTTCCGGGAGGCCGACAAGCCTTCCCCTTCTTCATCCTCACTCCCCGAAGATCTCTCCAAAGATATCTGCCAACGGTTATCCTCTGAGGTGCCAAGGCTGGAACTCAAGGAACTTGGCTGGGAACCCTTTGGCCTGGACCCCAGAAGTTCTTCCTCGCTGCTGCTGGAAATCTCCCCTGGCCTTGGGCTGCTGCCTGTTGAGGAGACAGGAGCTGGGGCCACACAGCCAGGTCCAATTGGGGATGGCTGGGCAGGAGAAGCAGGGCAAGCATGGAAACCATCCCACTGAAGATGGGGGGCCTGCGCTGGTGGCCTCTCACCCTCCCTTTGGGCAATGCCTCCTTGTGGAACTGCCCGCCGGTGCCCCCGAAGTCCTGGATAAGGAATGCAGCTGCGGGGAGGTGGGGGTGGCGGGGTCTCCTTGTTGTGCTCCTCGGGGACAAAGTGTGCCCGCAATGAGGTGTCCATGCCAATGCCCCCTCGTTGCAATTGTGGGGCTGAAGGAGGAGGAGGGAACCCCCAATTCCCTGACCCCAAATCCCTACCTTTGGGAGCCGACCGGGGGCCCGACCCACCTTCCTGTGTGGCCTCTCCTTTGGCCTGTGGGCGCCGAAAGCTCTCCCCAAAAAGTTTGCGCATTTCGGTGACTTTGGGCCAGTCGAGTGCGGACGATGCCTCCACGCTGCTCCTGGGGCTCAGTGTTTGGAGACTCCGAAGTGGCAGCGGAGGAGGAGAAGGAAGAGATGCAGAGGGTCCCTGAAGCCCCTCTTTCCCCCTTGGGTCAGCCTCATAGGTGGCAGCAGAGACCAGAAGGGAAGATGGAGCCTCTGGGCAACAACAGGTGCCTCTCTTCCCCAAAGTCCTGGCTTCCTGCGCCTCTGGATGGGGTTCATCAAGGGAGGAGGCAGCTCCAGCGAGCAGGGAGGGTCGAGGGCCTGAGGCAGAAGCGAGGGCTCGTTCTCGTCCTTCGTTGCGCGCCTGCGGCTGCTGCTCCTCGTCTTGCGCGTCGGCGCCTCGGGGCTCTCCAAAGCGCAAGGAAAGTTGGCGCACGGAAGGAGAAAGGCTCCTCACAGGCCGGTGGGAGGGCTCCGAAACGGGGAAAGACGGAGCCGAGGAGGAGGAGGAGGAGGAAGAAGAGGAGGTCTTGGCCACGTTGCGGGAAAGGACGCTGAAAGAAGCCGCTCGGACGGGCGATCTCCGCCCCAGGATGGCCGGCGCGCTTGGCTGGTGCGCCTTTACGCACGGCGCTTGGCACAGAGAGTGCGCCTCTGGCACAGGCACGGGCACAGGCACGGGTGGCGTGGGCTCCTCCCGGGACCCTCCTCCTCCTCCCCCCTCCTGCCCCGTGGGCCCGGTCCTCCGCCCCAAACCCTTGGCGGAGAGGCTGCGGTGCAAAGCGCTGCTGCTGCTCCTCTCCAAAAGGTCCCTCCTCTCCGCCATTGTTTGGGAAAAGGTCCCCAGCTCTCCAAAAGCTCTCCAAAAGCTTCCCACAAGGCAAACCTCTCTCTCTTTCTCTCTCTCCTCCGCGATCCAAGGGGAAGAGCCTTGACTCCCGTGGAAAGGAAGGAGAAGAGGGAAGAAGGGGCAGCCCCAAAAAGACCCAAACAATCCAAGAGTTTGCAAGAGAAACCTTGGCAGGACGCACGCAGAGAAAGGTTGCTTTGGAGGGGAACAAAAGCCAGCCAAGAAAGGAGACCCCCAAACGGATCCAAGTCCCGGGAAAACGGTGGGATTCGAGAGATCCCCGGATCCTCCCTCCTCTTCTCCTCCTCCTCCTCCTCTCCAAGAAGCCACACAAAGGTTGGAAGGAGCGAGCGAGGCCAAACTTTTCAGGCCGGCGGAGAAGAATGAAGGCGGCTGGCTCAGAGGGCGAGGGGCGCGGGCATCTTTGGAGGAGGGGGCCCCATGCCGCCAGCCCCTCTCTCCTCCTCCTCCTCACCCCCACGGCCAGGCCATCCCAGGGTCCCCGGGTGTGGGCCAAGGCTGCCCCTCTTCCTCGCTGGCCTTGGGGGCTGCCGGGCTTCCTCTCTCCTCCCCCTTCCTTCCTGGGCTCCCTTCCTCCTTCCCTGCTTTCTCTTCTCCCAATCCCCCCCCGCAGCCAGCATTTCACATCAACTTTCCCCCTCAAGAGGCGTGGTTTCTCTCCTTCAGAGAAGGGGGGATGGTCTCTTGCAAGGAAGGGAAGGGGGAAGGAGAACTCTGGGAACGTTTCTCTTGTGCAGAAGAGGAGGAGGAGGAGATGAGCACAATACCTCCTCTTCTCCCTCAGGATTGGGTCCTTAAAGGGAAAACAATGCACATTTGGGCCTAAGAATATTTGGGTCTTCCAGTGTCACTCCTGGGCACCACAATTGAAGGGAGATATTGACAAGCTTGGAAAAGAGTCCAGAGGAGGGTGACTAAAATGATCAAGGGTCTGGAGAACAAGCCCTATGAGGAGCGGCTTAAGGAGCTGGGCATGTTTATATCCTGAAGAAGAGAAGGCTGAGAGGAGATATGATAGCCATGTATAAATATGTGAGAGGAAGCCACAGGGAGGAGGGAGGAAGCTTGCTTTCTGCTTCCCTGGAGACAAGGACGCAAGGGAACAATGGCTTCACACTACAAAAGAGGAGATTCCATCTGAACATAAGGAAGAACTTCCTGACTGTGAGAGCCGTTCAGCAGTGGAACTCTCTGCCCCGGAGTGTGGTGGAGGTTCCTTCTTTGGAAGCTTTTAAACAGAGGCTGGATGGCCATCTGTCAGGGGTGATTTGAATGCAATATTCCTGCTTCTTGGCAGAATGGGGTTGGACTGGATGGCCCATGAGGTCTCTTCCAACTCTTTGATTCTATGATTCTATGATCCTCGATATGGTCAACTTCATCCAATTGGGTTGGAGGACCTCGATATTTTAGAGCAGTGGGTCTCAACCTTCCTAATGCATTGACCCCTTAATGTAGTTGTGGTGACCCTCAACCATAACATTATTTTCGTTGCTACTTCGTAAACGTAATCTTGCTACTGTTATGAATCGTAATGTAAATATCTGATATTTTCGTTCACTGGACCAAGTTTGGCACAAATACCCAATACACCCACATTTGAATACTGGTGGGGTTGGCAAGAGGATCGATTTTGTCATTTGGGAGTTGTAGTGCTGGTTTTGACCTATAAAGCCCTATACGGTTCTGGCCCAGTTTACTTGTCCGAACGCATCTCCCTCTATGTCCCACCTCACAGTAAGAATCATAGAATCATAGAATCAAAGAGTTGGAAGAGACCTCATGCGCCATCCAGTCCAACCCCATTCTGCCAAGAAGCAGGAATATTGCATTCAAATCACCCCTGACAGATGGCCATCCAGCCTCTGTTTAAAAGCTTCCAAAGAAGGAGCCTCCACCACACTCCGGGGCAGAGAGTTCCACTGCTGAACGGCTCTCACAGTCAGGAAGGTCTTCCTCATGTTCAGATGGAATATCCTCTCTTGTAGTTTGAAGCCATTGTTCCGCGTCCTAGTCTCCAAGGAAGCAGAAAACAGATCATACGGGGAGGCCTTCTTGGCAGTGCCCCCCCCCCCCCAATCTGTGGAACCCGCTTCCCACTGAGATAAGATCGGCTCCATCCTTCCTGTCATTTAGGAAGAAATTGAAGTTGTGGTCCTGGGACCAGGCTTTTGGACAACAGACATGGATAGCACTTTGGACATGGAATTTGATGTGGAATTGACTGGAATGATGTTATGGCTATTAATGCTGTTTTTTACTGTTTTAATGAATGTTTTCCTTATTGTTTTAATTGTTATTATATTGCTGTGTTATATGTAGTGGCATTGAATTGCTGCCAAATGTAAGCCGTCCTGAGTCCCCTTCGGAGGTTGAGAAGGAACGGGATAGAAATATCGGAAATTAACAAACAAACAAATAATATTAATAGTTCACATACAATCAAAGAACATTCTAATGCTAATCAAAGTCACCAATTGAAACATTCTCACCTAGCTCCAACAGACAAGAGTTCTTTCTCCCACTCTGGACTTTCCACAGAAACATAAACCCAATTTTCCTAGTTCCAACAGACCTCACTACCTCTGAGGATGCCTGCCATAGATACAGGCAAAACATCAGGAGAGAACACTTCTAGAACATGGCCGTCTAGCCCAAAACACCTACAACAACCAAACATTCTGAACTCCACCAGTGATGAAATTGAATGAAACTTGGCACAGAGGGCTGCCATGACTAGCAGAAAATACTGGAAGGGTTTTGTGGGCATTGACCTTGAGTTTTGAAGTTGTAGTTTATCTACATCCAGACAGCACCGTGGACTCAAACAATGATGGATCTTTGCATGGAAAACTTGGCACGAATACTCACTATGCCCAAATGTGAAGACTGGTGGAGTTTGGAGGAAAATAGACCTGACAATTGGGGGTCATAGTTGCTGGGATTTATAGTTCACCTAAACTCAAAAAGCATTCTGAACCCCAGCAACGATAGAATTGGGCCCGACTTTACCAAGGTCATGGCAGCGGTGGCGGCTTACGGTGTTTCCTTACATCGATGATTGGTTGGTCGTTGGAGCCTCTCGCTCACAACTCTACTTTACTTTACTTAGGCGGTCCCTCATTGTCCGAGTAGGATTGTCCTCCAAGATCAGTGTACCTGCAGTGGGAATGTAGGTTACTGTGGAGCCCTATTCTTGATCCGCATGTTCTCCCACAGTGAGGGCATCTGTTTCCAGCTCGAAGGCGGTCCCGGTCAGGGTTGGCTTGATGCACCTTCCTCTTGCCAAGCTTCTCTCTTTCACCCTCTATTCATGCCTCTTCAAATTATACAGTACTGCTGGTCACAGCTGACCTCCAGCTGGAGCGCTCAAAGGCCAGGGCTTCCCAGTTCTCAGTGTCTATGCCACAGTTTTTAAGGTTAGTTTCGAGCCCATCTTTACATCTCTTTTCCTGTCCTCCAACATTACGTTTCCTGTTCTTGAGTTCGGAGTAGAGCAACTGCTTTGGGAGATGATGGTCAAGCATCTGGACAACATGGCCAGTCCAGTAAAGTTGATGCCAGAGGAGCATCACTTCAATGCTGGTGGTCTTTGCTTCTTCCAGCATGCTGATGTTTGTCCGCCTGTCTTCCCAAAAGATTTGCAGGATTTTTCGGAGGCAACGCTGATGGAATCGCTCCAGGAGTTGCATGTGATGTCTGTAGACAGTTAACGTTTCACAGGCATATAGCAGGGTTGGGAGGACAATAGCTTTATAAACAAACACCTTGGTCTCCCTACGGATGTCCCAGTCCTCCAACACTCTCTGCTTCATTTGGAAAAATGCTACACTTGCAGAGCTCAGGCGGTGTTGTATTTCAGTGTCAATGTTGACTTTTGTGGAGAGGTGGCTGTGGAAATGGTAGCAGAAATGGTCAATATTTTCTAATGTTATACCATGAAGCTGTATTTCTGGCAATGGAGAGGGATTGGCTGGTGACTGCTGGAAGAGCACTTTGGTTTTCTTGATGTTCAAGATACTCCTAGTATTGTGTTGCATTAAACCATGGCAGTTGAAGTCACATCAAGCTGCACTAAACCTGCATTGTGGATGCACCCAAAGGCATACAGATGATATTTTTCAGTGTCAATGTTGACTTTTGTAGAGCGGTAGCTGCCAAGGTAACAGAAGTGTGTGTGTATTGGGTTGTTGTAGGCTTTTTCGGGCTATATGACCATGTTCTAGAGGCATTCTCTCCTGACGTTTCACCTGCATCTATGGCAAGCATCCTCAGAGGTAGTGACGTCAGAGTGTGTATTTGTGCAGATCTGTGCTTTTGACTTCCACGCATTGGATGATGCATTCAACTGGGCACCATAGCTATTCAACACCATGTTTGTGTACCCCAACTGGTGCATGACTCAATATGCGGAGTTGTTGTTTTGCAAGGTCTTTAACGCCTTCTTGCACTGGTGGTGACTCAACGAACTATAACTCTCATGATTCCATAGCATTGAGCCATGGCAGTTCAAGTGGGATCAAACTGCATTCATTCTTCCATGTCAATTCGCTCTGACGGAGAAGTTCTCTTGGATCTTGGAGATTAGTTTCAATGTGCAAGAGAACTTCCTGTTAGAACCCAAATTTGACCCCTCCAGGTGTTTTGGACTCCAACTCCCACCATTCCTAACAGCCTCAGGCCCTTTCCATGTTGATTCACTCTGACTGAGAAGTTCTCTTGGATCTTGGAGATTAGTTTCAATGGTTGATGTGCAAGAGAACTTCCTGTTAGAACCCAAATTTGACGCCTCCAGGTGTTTTGGACTCCAATTCCCACCATTCCTAACAGCCTCGGGCCCTTTCCATGTTGATTCACTCTGATGGAGAAGTTCTCTTGGCTTGTTGTAGGTTTTTTCGGGCTATATGGCCATGTTCTAGAGGCATTCTCTCCTGACGTTTCGCCTGCATCTATGGAAAGCATCCTCAGAAGTAGTGAGGTGGGAAAAGGCTGAGGGGGAAAAGGAAAGGGCCTGTGACAGTTAGGAATGGTGGGAGTTGGAGTCCAAACCATCTGAAGGGAGGGCCCAAGTTTGCCCAAGCCTGTGCTAGATGGTAGCTTTGTTCTGCCAGTTCCCTCCTTCTCTCTCTCTCTCTCTTTCCTTCTGTGTTTATATTACGTATCTTTTGGCTCCTGCCCAAATCAATGTTCTTTCTCTCCTTCTCCCCCTTCTTTCCTTCCAGCCCTACATTCTCACAGATTCGGAGGAAGCAAAGCCGGAGTTCAAGGGGGAGGGAGTTGATCTTTGCTCCTTGCTGAGGTCAGGACCAAAACTCCAAGAGAGAAAGAGAGAGAGAGATCTTGGAATGGGATGGGAGGCAAACAGCGTTGCTTTGCACACAACTTTGGTGGATTTTTCTTTCTCCTCAGAGGCCTTGAGGGAAACAAATGCCTGGTTTCGTCCAGAAAGGAGATTTGGGCACCACCTACCGATCAAAAGCTTGAAAGGAGAAGCAGCAGAATTTCCATCTCTTCACAGTGTCTCTCAACCTTCCTAATGCTATGACCACTTAATACAGTTCCTCATGTTGGGGTGACCCCCAACCATAATGTTATTTTCGTT